CACGTGATGTATTGACACCAGCGAGGCCTGCTGGGAAATATGCGTCCACTGGGAATCCGCCAGTTGATCATAACTCACTCCCTGGTTGCTCAGCTCAATCACTCATACAAACAGTTGTAAACACGTCTGGGGACAAAAACCGCCTAACAAACACCTGCATGCATCCGTACGCCAGCAGGGTGTTTACATCAAGTCTGACTCTGTGTTTTGCATTTCCATGGAGTCGCTCCGCGACGGCCCGGCCCCGGAGGCGCAGAGTCACTCAGTTAATCGGATGTGATTAGCAGAGGAGCAGGAAGACTCCATGTCTGCAGAGCCTGAGGACCAAAGACGTGGAATATGCAGCAATATAATTCAGATCCCACAGCTCTTAAATAGAGTTGCATGTGTTTTACTGCAACTGTGCACAGTCTGACTTGTGCATATTCGTGATGCTTCCACCTCTTGTTGCTAGCAGCTAACTGGGAGTGACAACAAACAGGACGAGTTATAAGAAGAACCGCCTTTCATCTCCAGGAACAGAAGCAGATTACATCTCTAATATGACACCAAGAACAAGATTAATCAAGTTACCATGTCATGACTAACAGTCCAGCTCCAAACCTGAATGTCTCATACAACTGAACAGTAATACCCAAACACAATGTGGCAAGGCTAATACTTAAAATATTAACATAAATGAACTGATAATGTCTCAAAAATGTAATCAATTTAGACAGGAAATGCTAATTCTCTAAATCAAATTAGAATAAAAACCTGTTTGAAGCTCATGTTGCAGCCATAGCTCAGAAAGTCGACCTGACTGAGTAAAACCAATGTGATTTTTGGATTCAGCACATCAAAATTACCCTTTAACAGTTGAAAAACCCCAGACAATTCTTTGGTTGTTGACTAGTTATTGATAACTCTAGTCAACAACCAACTCCATGGAAACTCCATGGAAATGCAAAACACAAAGTCAGACTTTATGTAAACACCCTGCTGGCGTACAGATATGAAACATTTATATCAAGACTAAAAGCTAAAAGCTTCGGTGAATCAGGAGGAATAAAAAAAAACAAAAAAACAAACAACACCCCAGCAAAACTTACAAGACTCTAAGTAGTCTGTAAAACCTATTAACAACCTAAATGTGCTTTACACTTACAGCTTTACTGCAATTAGACAAGAAAAATAAGTATATTAAGTATAACAGGTCAATAAATCAATGCTGAAAGTGGACCTGCAGGTCTATCGCCACAAAAATGCTTTAGCGGTTGAGTTTTATGATCTAAATGACAGGAGACAGTGTGGTGAAATGTAGATTAAAAGAAAATAATCAGTACAAAAAACCGCAGAGTTGGTAGGATTCAGTTAAAAATAAAACAACAGGACATTAAAAGTCATCCAAACGACTAAAACACACACTTGGAAGCGTAACCGGCCTCCAGCGAACGCCTTGGCCTGACCACATAATGACATGAGCACTTGCAGCCCCATTCTCCGCTTGCTTCTACTCCTTATCTGCTGCAAAAGCAGAGCTTCATTAAAAGCTGCCATCCATCAGAGAGCGGCGAGCCGAGTGGAATGTGGCTCCACAACGCTCGCCGCGGTACGTGGGGTCGCCGACTTGCAGATTATCGTGGCAGACGGGGCGTCACACCTCCATCCCCCCGCCTGCACGTCTCCTCCACTCTGCATCAACATGTTTGGTTCCTAACAGACCCGACCCGACTACAACGTTTGCCGAATGTGTTGAAGAGAAAGTCGTCAGATCAAGATACACAGAAAAAAAACAAAAAACAGCAATGATTCCTATAACTTACAAAGAAGCTGCAATAATGCCCGATAATTACAGGACTAGTGTTAATCACACTAACATCTTGTAAGTATGCAACAGTGTTGTGTCAACAGTTGCACATTTTTACTAAAAACTGTAATTATCTGAACACTAAATGCACTTTTTCTCATCTTCGTTCTCATTTTCTTGAAAACAAGACAAGACGACAGAGCTTTCCGTCTCTGAAAGTGAAAAGCTGCAGGTTATTTTCCAGTCGATTTCCAAAGTTTGGAACTGAATATATTGATTTTATGTTGCAGCAGAATATATTTTCTGCTTTCTAAATACATGTTACACAAACAGAACAGATCTAAACTAAAATAAAACAATGATTTGTCAAAAGTTATCTTCTATAACACACTTATCAAGTCTAGACTGGATTTCTAACACCAAACATAGATTGATGAAATAAAAATTTATTTAAAATTGACCAGTAAACAGTACAAAATAAATTATGAAAACAATTTTCCCCCATTCTAAAACATTTTTTCCATATTTGGGAATTAAAATAATTCAATTTCAGACCTTTCAAGACTGTACGAACTATCTAAGGCTGATAAGTAACATTTAATCAGCACTTAATGTGGGACAGATTTAAGATAAAGACTTTTTACCAGCTGATTTCATTCATAAATGGAAGAGTAAATGGAATAAACTGCCAAGTATTTAGAACTAATCAGCTGATTTTATTTAGAAATTGGTGTAACAAATAGATATCATCCAAACAAACGAACCTCAGATTTTATAAAACAAATATAATCCCCAGTGACTCTCTTAATCCAAACCACAACATACAGTTATAGATACAGATTCCCTGGATTCTTGTTTTCTGCTGTCAACCGATGCCTATGTTAAACCCAGAGGCATGATGGGTAAAAGATGCTCTGGCACGGTGATAACAGATGTAGTGCAGAGTAAGCTGTGAGACAGTGGGGGGTGAGTGATAAGATGGAAGAGGGCGGGGTGCAGAGGGAGGAAAAAACAGAAAAAATGTGACAGTGGGGAGGCTTAGGAACGGATTGGTGAGAGAAATGAGTGATGGAGAGGAAACTGAAGTGAAATTAAAGGGGAATTCAGGGGAGCTGGACAGAGACTGAAAAAGGTTTCAGCTTCAAATGGGGGAAAGAAAAAAGACTAAACAAGGGAGGAACAAAAAGAGACTCGGGTTAAAGGAGAGCACAGCTTGATTTCTTGGCAGGATCCAGGAGTTTTAATTTAATCACATGCATGGAAAATCATATTCTTTCACATCTTCAACTCATTTCAACCAGTCCAGGTTCAGACATCCTCGGTTTTCTGGCAGTCAGGGTTCAGCACAGGATTATTAACTAAAGTTTCCTAAACACTGCAGCTCGACTGGGACATCCTTTTTCCATTTATGTTATTTTTATTAAACTCAAAACAAAAAGGTGCAGTAAAAGAACAGGACTTTCCATATCTTCATTCTCAGCCACTCCTTGATAGATTCTCAGGTTTGTTTGGGTTGCTGGGTCCAGTTCACACCAGCCCCGTTTAGTCCGCATTAATTCAACTCCAGTTTGTTTGTGTAGAAAGTCTGGTTTGTTTGGGGTGGTGTGAACACGTAATCCAACTCTGGTCCGCTTAAAATCTTGGTCTCGGTTCGGTTGAAGTGAATATGTGGATGGAAGCGAACAAGAAATACTGCTCCAAAAGCAGGAAGTGGACTATGGTGCAAGGTATTCTGGGTAAATAGAACCAAAAGAATGGGACAAGTCTGATCCTAGCCGGATAAATGGCTCATGGTTGTTGTTGTAGATGTCCTACAAACATTAAAATCTAACACTCCAGTACTGTTTACATTTTGTTTAAAAGAAAGTGGCGCTCATGTCTCATTCAGACGTTTTTGTGTCGTTTTCATCAGTGGTTATTGATGCAGCGCCACCACAGGCGAGGAGGGAAACAGCTTTTTCAATTAGTTTGGACTGTTTGACACAATGCAGTGTGAAAGCAAACTGCAGCAGCTGAAAATGTGTCCCCAATCAAACTGAACCTAACAGACTATAAAGTGTGAAAAGACCCTTTAATTACTTCAGTTTTCTACATTATTAAAATCTATGTTAAATATCCGCTCTCAGGATTTTTGCGTCCCCTTTAAATCACCTCTTCATATGCCCTTCTCTCCCCCCGAGTTAACCTCTGACCTATTTTGGATTCCAAGCACCACATGTGGCTTCTAGATTCCCCCGTCAGCTTTCACTCCTCACCGTTCCCCTCCCACAACACTCACAGCCATGGATACTCGCTGCGGTTACGCAAGGCCAGCGGTTATGTCACACGCTCCAGCTCACAAAAAGACACACAGAGAGAAAAACCTGCCAGACGCGGGTTTTTTGGTCATCGCTCCCATTTCTGGGTCCCTTTGGATCGGATCTTAAGTACTGTGGCAAGGAAAATAAACTCTGGTTTGGAAAACCTCATCCTTAGTGGACCACACAGAAAAGCACACCTCTAGACTCCCTACTGTGACAAAGTAGAGGCAGAAATTGAATATTAAACACTCAAGAGGGCAATTAAAACGGAGCATCCACCACTCAGGAGTGGGTAAACCTGTTCATTCCCTCCAGGAGTCGCCATCTTCCACTTAGAGGCTGTTTGTTTGCAGAAGTAGAGGGAGGTAAACACCAGAATAAGACGGGCTTCCCTTGAACGTAACCGAGAGCGAGGAGGGATCACACACCATCTGTCCAATAGGGAATCCGTTTCACTAGTACATGATGTACAACACACACATTTATCCTCATTATACTAAAACAGTCACCAAATCCCCTCTCCTCTGATACAATCAGTTTTCATATACAGCAAATTAAAATAAAATCTATCTGCCTGTGTCAACAAGCCATCTTTCTCTTCAACTGTTGCTTTTTCAGTGAATTCGTTCCTTTAGCTGATTCAGAGAACCACTGGACCGACCTACCGGATTGGTGTCAGCGCCACTACTGACCTGAATACGCAGATCAGCTGTCAGCCGGTCAAAACCAATCCATAAACAGGTTTTAATTTCCTCTTTATGCCACTACTAAGGCAGGGGAAAACCAGTAGCTCGTTTTATTGTTCCATTATTAATGTACGCCAACTTTGAGCGATCTTTTTCGTATTTATAAAAGGGGCAGTAGGTTTTTCTAGGCAGATGGTGACATTTTATACCACAAAAAAATGCTACATATATCACAGGGTTTCCCCCAGTGTATCATAGGCCTGGCGGTCCGCCATCCTTTACTAGCGCCACCGCCAGGCTAAGCCTTTCTTGTTCATGTTTTTAGGAAAATAATAATAAAAAAAAAACGGTTTTCTTTTTTTTTTCCCCTTTCTTTCTTTTTTCAAGCCGGATTGCTAGCGCCTCTGTTGCTCTGAGCGCTTCACTGGCGGAGCAGATTTATTCCTAAAAGATATGTTTATAGAAGATAGGTTTATCGTTTATTCATAAAGCCGGACCAAACACACCGCTGGCACCTCTGCGCGTCGCCTCACGCGCTGCAGTAACTGGATTAAGTTCACCTCGGATCCCGCGCGCCTCCTTTCACTCAAACTGGACACAGGCTGACCTGTATAGATATTTACATCAACCCCCTGTGAGGAATTATGATTCTTTCCAGAGTTTTAGATCAAGGTGGGACTTTAAACACCACTCTGGTTAGCTCTGGTTGCACAGCTCAAAGTGAACTGCAGGAATAACTTGTAGACGTGCTTTCAGAGGTGCGTTGAACGAGCGGTGGAAATGATTTATATTTATGAACAAAGAATTTTGTGCGGCTTTTCCATCTCAACTCGCTGCCTAGCGGGTGGCCGGTGTGTTAGTTAACGAAGTATTGCTAACCTGATCATGCAGGTTCAGCCCGATGAGGAGCTTTCACGCTCTTCTGTCTGTAACGCATCACGCTGATTTTATATTATTTATATTATTATTTTTAGTATTATTTTTCTGGTTACACAATGCATCAAACCGTATCAAATACTTTGTCCACTTAGTCAGACAGAGATAATGTGCGCGGCTGGGCGGAGATCTGAGAAACTCGTCCCATAAACTCGACCAAGCAGAATAGTTTCTGTGGCACTTATTAAAAACCCAACAGACACGAAGTGCTAGAGCTACTAAAGCCATAGCAGCATTGAATTAAATCTCCCGTATGTTGTGCATCTCTGCGTAGTGCAGCAGATTTAACTCATCATGCAGGGCCGGTCCAAGGTTGTATGAGGCCTGGAGCAGAATTTGATTTAGGGGCCCCTTTTGTTGCTAAAAACATCAGCACCTCTAACAGATGTGTTGGATTTAATCTGAGAGAGGGGGAGTAGTTTAACTGGCCAACCTAAAAAGCAATCAGTTATAATTGCAGTTTACTAAATTGTATTTGTGAACAAACAGAGCTCAAACTTAAAGATTAAACTCATAGCATCAGATTGTAGCTGTGGTAACAAAACAAGCTAACTATGAATATTGTTCTTTGAACTTTTACAAAGTAAACTTCCCAGCTCCTTAAAATCTTACATTTAAATGTTAAACAATTTAAAATCTTTTAATTTATGTATGTTGAAATTGAATAAAGTTTAACAGCATTGATAATCTCAATAAACAAGTATTACATTCATGTATCTGTTGTCTGTGTTAAAATATTAGCATGTATGGGGCCCCTGAAGCCCTGGGGGGCCTGATGGAGCTGCTGACTTAATTTGGATTAAACAAAAGTGCAAATAATTGATATTAATTTTAATTATATAATTTGATTTGTTGTTTTAAAGACTAGTTGTGGGTTTAAGTAGTGTTTCACTGGCGATGTTTTCCCGTACAGTATAACAATGTTTTTAAATTTCCTGTCACCTTAACATCTTTTAATACAAAAACACGGTGGACCGCCTCGGCACCCCGACCACCAGGCTTAGCAAGTTTTCTGCGGAAAACCCTGTATCAAATATGATTTAAAAGAAACATGACTTTGCAATTTAACGCCTTGAAATTGGGCCTGTCTCTTTAAGAAGGTCCTGCTCTTTCGAACACTCCCTTTTCAGCTCCTCCATTATGGCGTTTACAACCATTCTTGCGTTGGACTGAGAAATAGTTTGTAAGATGAGTTCAACAGAAGCGCAGTTACACCAGGTGTTTGCCAATTGCTGCTGCCACTAGTCTGGAGGAGCAAAGTGAAAGTAGGTGATACGTTAGGAGAGCAGCAAGAATCACATAATACTCCTGGTATGTTTTAGATGAAGGAATAACACTATAAACATGATAAAAAAAAAGATCAAAATGTAAATTTTACATAACTTCCTTTTAACAACTAGCATGGTGTTCATAAATAAAGTGAATTTATAGAAAAGTGCAGTGAACAAGCATTTAATTTGGGGGGGAAAATAAATGAGACATTTGCTATTTTCTAAGTGAGCTACTTAGATATTCAGGAGAAAGTGCAATTATTAAGTATTTATAATATAATTAAATACTCCCCTACCTCCATCCAGCAGATGAGTGTTTTATGATGTAGTTTTCCATCCCAAACAAAGAGACACTTGTCATTTACAGTAGACTTCATTTGCACACACACACAGTCAAAAAAAGAGCCATTAAACTGGAGTGAGATCATCCAGTATTGATTTTCCACTGCACCCCACACCACAAATCTGCAGCCGAGGATCGTCTTCCCCACATCCCGTTACCTAATACGCATATGTTTGATTTTACACGCAGAGTGCCTTTGGTCCGGTCCAACGAGGGCGATTCTTTCAGGAAAATGGTGAACCTTATGACTTAGGAATGCTGTCGTTGGCTTGGATGTATAAGGATGGGAAACTATGCATTCATTTCCACAGATCATTCCTAAATCATTACCCAACACACACACACTCCTCTGCTGCGACCTTTCTGTTGACCCACCGAAGGGAGCGCTCTGGTAGCAGGGGTGTCATAGTAAATCACATGAGCAGGGTTGTGTGTGAGTTATCTACTCAATGTTCTGCAGGCATAAATCATATGCCAGTATTTTGACTCAATAAAACCAAAGTATCTATTGGAGAGAAGATATCAATCAATGGCTAAAGATTTACCAATAGGCCAATTCTGACTTCTGACTTTTTTTTTCTTTTACACATTCTTACTTCTACATCCTAAACATTGCCTTCAATCTTTGAGTTTATGTGTCAATAAACTATGTATGCATGCAAATAACTGTAAAGCAACAATGGGTAGTGTCAGGTTTAAGAAAAAATATTACCACACATCCATCATACAATGACGAGATAATAAATCAACAACAATACATATTGCGACAAACAGGTGATCAATATCAATAGAGTATTCAATAATTTCACTGAATTTATCCATAACCCCATGGCATTCTGGGGGATTCCGGCAGAAAAAAATACTTTTATCACCTCAATCTCTCATGGCTAGCTAAGCAAGTTTGGCGGAATCAACTAACTCACTTATTCTTTGATTACCTAGCAACAACTCACTCACTCACACTCTCCCTTGCTCTTTGGTTGCCTGGCAACAACCTGTTGAGTCGCAGAAGTAGAGGAAAGGTCATGTTTGGCAGTACTTAAAAACAAAAAATTAATCAATAATTATTGGTATCGACTGATATGAAATGTTTTTCAGCCATATTACCACATAATGCTAACACATATATATCACTGATATCAGTAGTGAAGTAGTAAAATAAATCTCACATCAGTCTAAATCACTGAAAGACTTTAGTGGCACTAAAGGTAACCACATAATGATCACCATAACGACAGTCTGTGTTGAAGGCCAAAAGACGTCTGACGAGGCTCAGAAAATTACCAACGTCTACTTGTGCATGAAACTGCCGTCTCCACGGTTACTAATATACCAGGAAGCTCATAAAGAAGATCATTAAAGTTATTTGGAATAAATTCCTGGAGAAGCATGCAGAGTTTTCTATGAATCACCAGCTAAACATTTTGAGGTTTTACTGAAAAGTTTTGCAACAAACGTTCGGACTTAATGACACATCAGTGATGTGGTCACATTAAGAGGCATTTATAGCAGCGATGAAGCAAATTTAGCTGCTGATCAACAGCTTAAAAAGAATCTGACTTGTTTTTAACACATTAGTAGCTGTGTTATTAAAGGTTTTTACTTATTTCATGGCTTTAAGTTGGTTGTTTACAGCAAATCTTTGTGTTGTTAAGAGCATGTCAATCAAATAAGCAAGGCAAAATTATGGCATGGTATTTTTGATTATGTATACTATTATTATTTGTAAGATATGCTGATTAACATATTGATTTCAGAGTTTTATTTGAACCTTCTTTACTTGTTTACTTAACTTGAATTTTTGTATTTTTAAACACTGATTATAAATAATTTCCATTTAACCACCAACAAGGGTTGCGTTGGGTTATTCAGGGGTCCGATTATTGGTGTCGCAATGACTCAGAATCAATGAAAACTGGGTTTAAAATAAAAATACTTTTAAAATAAATTACAATTGACATTTGAGCCCTTTTCTCATTATTTACATCCATAATTCATAAAAAAATAAACACATATTGTGGGTATCACGTAGCTCAGTGGTACACAATAGTTGAGTACAGCTAAATAATCTGTAGGCATCAACTGTGTCTTTATTATTTATTAAAAGTATGAGACCTGACAGAAAGGACGTCATTTAGAAACCATTTTTTATAAAAAAGAAGTTGCTCGAAGCGACACGTCAATCAGCAACCGTCCCAACAGTAACAATGGTGACAGTTGGCTGTGGGCGTAAACCTCCATGGTTTCCACTCTTCTTTCTTTCCATCATTCCATCTATTAGCTTGCTGCTAAATCCAGGATTTACTCATCATATGTGTGACAGGTAAAAAGGGAGCCACATTAAGCCACTCGTTGTGGGGGAACCCAAAGCACTAGAAAACTAGACAGGTTTTCTAGTCCCTTCGGTTAGTTTTGGGTCTTCAATTGGGTTTTTTACCAGTTGTACGCAGTAAGACTCTGGTTCTTTTTGGCTTTTGAAACTTTCACACTTAAAACATCATAAGCTGAGTTCCTCATAAATGTGTCAATCTTTGTCAATATTCTGCTAGTGTCGAAAAAACACAATTCACAATTGCGATGTTTCCATTACATAAATTAAAATAACGCGATGAACAGTTACATGAGATATATTCATAATTCAGCGATGGCGCTAGTGATCATCATCTATCAAAAACAATCCCATCATTCTAATACTACTTCCTGTCGTCTTCTTTGGCATTTCCATCAGTAGTAACATCCCGCTCTTGATCACGTGACTCATA